CGTAATTGAATTTATGTACAGAAGGGTTTTCTCGCTAAGGACCTGAATTAAAGTTGTAAACGTGTTTTCAGTTAAAACTGGATCAGGTTAAAATCAGTGGTTGATAAATGGCTTGTCTTTCAATTTAACGGGTATAGAAGAGGCAATATTTTTAACCGAGATAACGAAGGAGCCACTTCTATTTTATAGGTCAACATCTTTTAAAGTTCAAACTAAAAACATATCATATTTAGAATAATAAAATAAAAATTGAGATAAAAAATATAATACTGAATAGAATAGGAAATTTATTATAATTAAATATTAGGAAATATCATTATTTTCGAACGCAAAAGTCTAAGTTCCCAACTTCATTTACACAACAATATTACTAGTAATTCGAAATGTTAGATTGATTGATCTTAGTTAGATTTTGCCGCCTAAACAGCTCAAAGGATCTCTATGAAATTACATACTTTTATTTTTCAACTCCACGCAGACAGAGTCGCGACGAAAAACTAGTGTTGTATATAATTTCAAAATAAGTCTACGTATAATATCTTCTACGAGTCTACGTCGTAGACAATTGCTACGAAACGTAGGCAAATTGCCTAAAAACATTTTCTACCCCCTTAGTTACTTTGTCAAACACTGACATGACAATATTATAGTCATTGCGTGCTCATAAAATATTCCGCTACGCGTACAAAACTCTATAACAATAACTCTTGTCTATGGAATCGACTTCTAATAAATTTATTTTACCCTTCATTATGTCATAGGGTTCAATGCTCTATAATATAATCGTCTGAATAGGTCTTTCATAAAATCTTGTTGATGTGTAGTTTTTATGTATTACTAAACTGTTATTTCTGTTACATTATAAATTTTCTCTAATATTATAAATGCGAAAGTTTAGATAGATGGATGTTTGTTAGAATGTGTAGCCTAAACTGCTGGACGGATCTCGATGAAATTTGGCATAGATGTAGAGGATAATCTGGAAGGATACATAGGCTATTTGCTTTTATATTTTTTCCTTCCACGCGGATAGAGTCGCGGGCGACAGTTAGTTTTTAATTAAGAAAAAAACAATATTGCGGTCTTAAATACTAGTTTACAAGTTATATTGTACATTACATAATCAAATAGTCACAAACTCATCATTAATCAACGGCCTTCCTTTATAGACGTAATACAAGCTCGTTACAATGTAAGATATACAGTGATATATTATCCCGTCAAAATAGAGAACAAGGTACAATATTATTATGCTCCTGTTGGCTTTGTTATTCCGGAGCATTAAGGAAATGTAGTTTCAAAGGTATCTTAAAAATATTAAATCAGATATGTACAATAACTAGCTTTTGGTCGCGAATCCATCTGCGTGGTATTAAAAAAACAGTAGTAGTAAATAATAGTTTTGATCCAGAATATGCTAGAGCATGAAATGTAGACATCTTTACCAAATTTCATCGAGATTAGTTCAGCCGTTTAGGCTACAAGCTCTAACAAACATCCATCCATCTAAACTTTCACATTTATAATATTAGTAAGAAAGACTTGATTTATGTAAATACATTTTAGTCTTAGAGTTAGTCAACTAACACAAAACCATCTGTTAAAATTAGTTTTCTTATCTAGGAAAATTCATTTTGTACTTTTGTGTATGTAAACAGAAGAGACATTTTTAAATTATGTGTTGCCTTTTCGATTACTTCCTTTAATTATATCATAAATAAACGTTAACCTAAAATATTTAAGCTTCTGTTCAAGAGAAAATCTGCCCGACATTGAGTAAGACAAATGATGGTGTTTCTATAAGCTTTATAATTTGATATTTTTCTAAAACCGCTTAATACTTCCTACTTAACAGATTAAAAACGTACCCTTTTGTTTATACACTTATACTATAAAGAATTCTTAATAAATTATCGTAAAATTTAACTGGAAATAGTTGTAAAAACCTCTTGTTATTGCATATTTTGATAAAAAGACAAATAATGTTTTCAAACAAGTGTTTGAACACTGTTAGAATAATAACAAAAACCTAGCAAACAATCTACATCTACATACATACAAGGAGGCTTTTACCCGTAATGGGGTCCATACAATAGGAGAAAAGTGCATGATAATGTTATTGTACAAATTATAATGTAACATTTGTGTATGGAATTTAATAAAGCTAAATAAATAAATAAATAAATAAATAAATAAATAAATAAATAAATAAATAAATAAATAAACAATTTACATTCAATCTTATTAATGTAATAAATGTGTTCCGATGTTTGTTACTTTGTCGCCTGATGAAAGGATCTCGGTGAAATTTGGTATATCTATACCTGTACATCTGTAGAGCATGCAAGAACACTTAGGCTAATTTATTTTGTTTTTTAATTTCATGGAGACGGAGTCAAGAGTGAAAGCTAGTATTCTATATTATTATAAAAAGATACTAATAAGATCGAGTTTCCAAAATTCACCTCAAGTATGAAAATAATTAACGTAATATTAAATATCTTCTAAGTATTATTAAAAAACTTAAACTCTTATGTTTCCATACTTTAAGAAGAATTCATACTTAAAAGTTTCACTCGTATGAAATACTTTTACACATATCGTGTTCAAAGCTCAAAAGCTTAAAATGAATTTAAGCTCAAAGAACTATTATGCAAATATTTTCATTCATATTTTTATAGTAATTTTCTTTTTTTTTAATAAAAATAAAATACTCTATGAATAAATTACTTGCAAAGAATGGTTATACTAATTTTCGAGCTCAAATAATACACTAGAACTAAACTATTGTTTTTTAAATGTTATAGTTACATTTCAATGCAGCCATCATCATCCATTTGCCCTTATCCCTTATGGAGGGTCGGCACAATATGTGCTGCTCTTCCATACATTTCTATCAGCCGTCATAACTGAATCTACTACTTTCTTGAGCATATCCTCTTTCACACAATCCATCCATACTTTCTTCGGTCTTCTTCTACCGCTGTTGCCATCCACATTTAATCTTAACACTTTCTGGTTTATGTCCATCATTTCGTCGCATAACATGTCCATACCACGTTAACCTTTTAAATTCACCCATATATCCGAATCCAATTAATCTAGATATAACTAAGGAAAATTATTAGAAAATATTGTTACATTTTCATTTAAAAATGAAATACGCAAAAAACAGCTCATAGACATCAAGACAAATTCAAATAAAACGGAAAATGTTCCATAGCCACTGAAATATTCCTATTGTAGAACGGATTCTACATTTAATACCGTGGTCAGGTGACAACAGATGTCCCAATCCGCTTTTCATGAAACCTTCAACGTAGCAAGTCGGTAAGCCGAACTCACTTCTTACTCGAGAATACTTAAAAATTTAAAAAAATGTCAAATGAGTCTTAACATTCACACTCAGATAAGCGCTTTGTACTACACTAAGGGAAACTACTTCACTCTGAGTGTAGTTATACTTGATGATATTTGTGAATATTTTGCATTATCTGTACTGATATTACAAAGAGAGATACGTATATCTGTATATATTGAAATAACTCGAAAACTACTGGGCTGTTTTTAAAAATTCCTTCACCGTTAGAAAGGTAATATATCTGTGAATAACATAGGCTATCTTTTTTTAGTTTCACGCGAGCGAGGCGCGAGCTACAGCTATTCATTATTATTTTTGGCCCATTAAATACATCTAATACAGATATCAAATACTCAGATTTAAAAAAAAATGCTTCTAAATCGAACAAGGTGTTAATAGAGTAAGGTTTTTTTCTTTTAAATTGCGTTCAACGAACTAATATTTATGCCTGCATACGGCTTAGACGTTGCATGTTAATCACCATAGAGTTTTCGTGTTCTCACGCAAACCATGGTTGAACTCAAACAAAATAAATAAAAGAACTTTCCACTGCCGCAAATCAGTAACGATCGACAATTCTGTGTTATCCATATTTTCTTATTACAGGAAGAAATGTTTGAAAGGTAAAGATACGGAATGAGGATTAGAGAACGTTTGAAAGTAGCCCCAGTGGAAAATAAGGAGGTTAGCAGGATATAGGCAGGAATAAATCGCTTATGATAAGAAGGACGTTAGATCAGTGTGGTACACCTGTAGACCTAGAAAGAGATGGATGGATTGCGTGAAAACAGACATAATCAAGGAGTGATGACTGAGATGACGGATGATAGAGTTATTTGGAGGACGAAAACCCGGTGCGCCGATCCTACTGGAGTATATTAATGTAGCGGAGAATGTACATGACAAAAAAAGAAGTCCGCAATAGTGTGACAGAGAATATGCGTAAAAGAGTGTGTACATACTGAGCCGATTCCATAGAAAAAGGAAGTCTGATGAATATCAAAAGATAATCTTAGTTAGAATCTTGAATCCAACGTTATTCAAGATGAAAAAGATCTTGTAATTTCGAATCTACTTAGAAATCTTTCCTTTTAATTACTCACAAAGGGAATTTATTTTGGGGAATTCCTTTGTAAGTAATTGAATTAAAGAAATCCATTAATATAAAAATATAATTTAATACGGATGAATTAGATTTACAAAAGATTAATATAACACAAAGTATCCGTTCTATTTGAATGGTAACCTATTTTTTAAAATTACTGAAAAAAAAACACATTCACTTCATTTACAGTCTAAAATTCTAAATTTGAATTTGTTTTTTTTTTTAATTGAAATTTATTTATAATTAAATGTGATAATGTCAATGGACATGAACAATAATCATATATATAGTTATATATGAATAAAACTAAGAACAGTGGTCCCTATAGTATTAAAATAAAAATCCATATATAAAATGATTGTATTTAGGAAACTTGAAATAGATCGTTATATAAATTGCATGTAAATTGTAAATTTTTTCGACATTTTACTAAGCGTAAATTTTTATTTTATTATACCATGTATATTATAACTAAAATCGTTAGTATTACAGTTTAGCGCACCCCTAAGTAACACACTTAAGCAGCAGACGTACCTTATTTTTATGTAGCGTTTCGAAACCTCTAACACAAAATTAAATTACTCACAAAAACTCTCCCATATTTATGAGAACACTAAAACTTTATACGTACTTAAAAAATCACTATTAATTTTATAACACAAATTAAACTTTGCCAAGAAATTATCCAATCACTCAACGCCACAAACACATGCAATCACGTGCAAGTTTGTTATAGATTAATTTTCGATAATTTAATTATTTCACGAAGCCGTTCTAAAGTTTCGGAGCGCACGTCCTCACTCCAGCGCGGCTAACAAACGACTGACTTACTATGCGCCACTACAATGCTACATAACATGTTTATGAAACAAAATATACTCTTGTTAATTAATTAATTAGTAAAAACGATATCATCGCCTTCGGAATCGCTGTCTAAAGGGAAATTAAGGCATTACATACGCTATCGAATACATTAACCTTAATGAAAATATTGTACACTCAGTACATAGTACAAGGTTAACAAATTAGTGCAAAGGTGATACGAAACTGCGATCATAAGGTCCACAAAACATAAAACAATTATAGCAACTTCTATGTTACTTATGAATGCGAAAGTTTTAGGTGGATGGATGTTTGGTAGAGTTTGCCACCTAAACGGTTGAAAGGATCTCAATGAATTTTAGCAGAGTCGTGGAGCATAGTCTGTAGAACACATGGACGACTTGCTTTTGTTTTTATTTCAAATTAACTTTCGCCCGCGACTTCGTCTGCGTCGAATTAAAAAAAACAAAAGTGAGTAGCCTATGTGTTCTTGCAGACTTTTGTGTACATACGCGCCAAATTTCATCGAGATCCGTTCACCGGTTTAGGCTACAAACTGTAACAAAAATCTATCCATTCATCCATCTATCCATCTGAACTTTCGCATTTATAATATTAGTAAGAAGATATGATTCATGCGGACGAAGTCGTCGACAAAAGCTATTTAGAAAGACGAAACCTACATTTCTTTTAGATCGAGTTTTATACCCAAAAATAAATTGTAGAATGTCTCGTAGACCTTATGTTTTGCTACGATAATTACGTAGCAAATGTTTACACTCGTAGATTACGTTGACTTGTTACTGCATAGTAGTAATTTTTTTTAATATCTACCACGTAACTACGACTATTAGTTATCTAAACTTGATAGATACTCTTTTACTAATATCATTAAATTTAAGATAACATTTAGCATAGATGTAGAGCATAGTCTGGACGAACACATTGACTACATACTTTTGTTTTTGTTTAATTAGTCGTGGACGGAGTCGCGGGCAAAAGCTAGTTTTAATCATAATCTTTGAAAAACATATTTGCTATCAAAGAATAGAGTACAGAACTGAATTTGGTATTATCAGAATAAGTATAGAGTTCATTAAAGCTTAGTTATAACATTGAGCTTTCATTTTACTACGAAATAGCAATGTTAATCAAATGAAAAGCTTTAAAGTAAACGTTGGAAAGGTGAATGTTTATTGTCCGTATTTTCCAGGAACAACCTTTCTGTATTCTAAGACGCCATTTTGATAATTAGAAATGCTTATTGCTATTATTTTATTCATTTGTTTCTATTTGTAAAATTAAAACTACACTTTTGGATTGATTTTTTAATTTATTGTATCGTTTAGTTTAGTTAAAACTTATTCAATCAATAATCAGATCTAAAATAAAGACACAGCAATTAGGTAAACTTATAAATCGAGCTCTGAACAACATTTCTGTGATGAAAATTGAGTTCTTTTTATATCAAGTAGTACTAACAGTAGATTTTCATTGTTACATGTAATCCTTCCATTAAAAACAATGAGAACAATTATGACCAACTATCGTGACAATAGATACCGACTGTAATCTATAATTCTACAATAATATAATAAAGCGTAAACACACACTTCTTTGTTGCCTAAGATGTCAGCAATTACAGCATATTTTTGAATAATTCTTTTTTTAATAAAAAGCCCTACACTTACGTCACGCTTTAGGCTATATATTTTCACGCCATTAAACTTAGGGTTAAATGTTTTGGTTAAAAACCCTTATGTGAGACCATAAGTTGCTGCCAACATCAAGGAAGCAAAATTACCAAAGTGTGTCATGTCATGTCATTTTGACATTTGCTATTGATAATTTGATAAATGTAAACAGTAAAAAAAAATCATAATTTCATGCGGATGAAGCCGCACGGGAACAGCTAGTACGTATTAAAAAGCGGCACATTCAATTATTAGCTTGTTCCTAGCGTACCATATCAAATGAAACTTTAACAACTAGTTAATTATTTAATACCATCCACTCTTTTCAGCGTGTAATTAAAACTGAAAGTTATGTTGAATCGGCAATGAGCAACAGTAGCGCCCTACCGACACTCGGACAATTAAACTTTTCACATTTGACTACAGGTCAGCGCCGGCGACTAATGAACAAACTTCCCAGCAATCTTGCTCACAGGGCGATTCAGGCCAACTGGCTTTCTGCCCCATTCCGTGTCATAGCAACTGCGCTAATTAATATCTATTGCCATCAAAGTTTTTGCAAAGTGTCTTATTTGATTTTTAAATAAAACTTTAAGATCATTATTTGAGTAATAAAAGTTAATTTTAAAAGGTATAGGGAGTGCAAATTATTTTTAAAACAAAAAACTCATGAAGCAAAATACGCTAAGGACGATTATTATAAGGATTAGGAAAAACCAACTTAAAATACTACAGATTTTCAATGGACGTTTGCGAAATAAATGGCCTTTAGTTCTTGAAAATCTAGGAAATAAACATTTAAAAGAACCGTCAATACAACAATCGTCTTTGCAATCAGTTAAGTCGTCGCCGACTCGTTGGCGTCGACGCTACTAGTATTTCAGGATCACTGCACTTGATAGAATTAAACTAAAAGCTTCAAACGTTCGCAATAAATTCACCTTTATAACGGACACAACAAGATAATTTAAAATTAAAATAAAAGAAAATATAACTTTTGTATTTTATTAACAATAGGAAATCATCTATCTCTTGTATTTTATCTTTGTACTATTTTAGAAGTAGAAGATTGGGAAAAAATGCAGTCGTCAGTATAGTAAAATGCATATAAGTAGATACGATGAAGACGCATAATGACAGACGTTACGAGGTGTAACATTCGTTGAGTGGCTCATTGCTTACTGCTTTCCCTCTAACATGTACTAACCGTGTGATTCTTTTGTTCTAATTTTATTTAGAATTATTACTTAAGACTGATTTTAACTTCTTAGATGTAAGGTAATTTGTAATTTGTTTGTTTTTCTATCTATGAATGTTGTGTTTGCTTATAAATGTAACATTTTTATGAGTTTAAACCAATGTATGTATACTTATTTTAATATGTTTTGTTGGCATTCCTGAAGAAAAATGCTCGCCGTGTAGCATGTTATATTACACCTCGTAACGTTACGTTAACATTTTCAACGGTATGAAATGTGATTTTATTTCTTTTTTATTGAAATATTTCGTATAAATCATTTGATACACGTAATAAAGTCGTTTGGCTTATCGGCGTCGCAATCGTCTATAAGCGACGTAGCGAGATTCAATTTGTTGAGCCGCTCAAATGATTTACATCGTGTCGCTGATTACCTTAATATCTACTTAGATATCAACTCGCTGTTCATCTTGAACAACTTTAACAATAATTTAACTAATGCTGGGTTTCCCAAGTATTTTATGGTTACCTAGTGATACATTAGTGTTAACTTGATCTAAGTTTCAATGTGGTACTCGTTATGTAGTTCAGAAACACATTTCATGAAGTCATCGAAACACAAACACTAACGAATGGTTAAATATAGCTAGGAAACCGACCATTAGTTACAATGTACATTACAAAAAATCTTTCTGATGATCGCTTTTTAAAACTTTTTTTAGTAACATCATTGTTTTATGAATAAAATCAAAGCATCAATCGATGGTGAGTTACCCGTCATTTATAAGTGTATCAGAGAAATTTATCCCAATGAGTGTTCAATATTAAATAGCCTGAACTCGAGTGCAATACGAATTCGCAAATAGATTGTTCAAATATAGCCCGTTCGCGTATTGATTGAATCATTTCCCGCCGAAAGTACAGATTATATTGAGGACGAGTCTCCAATCAAGCCGCTTATCGAACGCTATGGACCTTTGTGATATACGCCAGCCATCATTAACAGATATTTAAAACGTAAACAAATTGATAAATGAACCCAATAACCAATTAATTGGAATGGAAATAACAGAATATTACATACCAGTTACATGATAATTCTGATCATTAATTAATAGTTTATACTTTTTAAATTTTTATTTTTTTGTTCTAAAATAATTATGTCAGGCGACTGAGAATATCCGTTCAAAATCTATACTTGATATTATAAAGAGGAAAGATTTGTATTTTTTGTATGTATTAAAATAACTCGAAAAGTGGGCTGATTTAATACACTCTTTTATGATTAAAAGTGAGTAGTAACATAGGCTATAATTTTTTTAATTTTTAATTTCACTTTCTTTTCTTTTTCAATTAAGAACTTATTGCGCGCGAAGTCGCGAGCAATAAGTTCTTAATGTTATGTTTTTAACTTTTTTTTTTAACAAGGCCAGCATCTTTAAAACTGGCACGTTACAATTGTATTTCACTTGTTACCTTGTTAAACGAAGCAAAGGTTCTGAATAGCTCAATCAAGATCTCGCCAATAGCTTGCCTTAGTTGTGGTCGATTTATACGACAGCAGACTTTACAGCAGGTCCTCATTACGTGTGCTGATTGGAAGCGCCTAACGCAATTTCCATTAATTATTCCTTTCTCACAAAATCATTTATATAATTTCCATCACGCGTTAATTTAGTAACTTCGTTCTGTTTTAACGCAGTGAAATGCAATAATCTGAATAAACATTTAATATAGTAGTATCCATATTTTATTTATCTTTATTATCTATACTATTATAATAAAGCGAAAACACACACTTTGTTGCCTAAGATGTTAGCAATCACAGAATATTTTCGAATAATTATTTTTTTTATAAAAGGCCCTACACTTACGTCACGCTTTAGGCTATATATTTTAACACCATTAAACTTAGGAGGTAAATATTTTGGATAAAAACCCTATAGGAAAGAGACCATAAGTTGCTGCCAACATCAAGGAATGAAGTTTGCCATAGTAAGGTAATGTATTTTGACATTTTCAATTGAGAAATTGCCAAATGTAAACAATAAAACAAAGTTTTTATAATTTCAAGCGGATGAAG